GCAAGATTCATGGGCAGGAAGGGAAACCAGAGTAAACCCCTCCTGCAGCCCTAATTTTGATATGCATTGCTGGACATGCTGATATGTTAGATAGCCACTGATTAAAATCAGAAAAAAATCCAAATATCAGGGCTTTGAGTACAGCTTTTTGCTCTGCTAAATGAATTCCCCAACTGTTGGTATACAGAGCTTTGGTCTTTATGTATTCTGCTTCTGCATTCTTGGCTGCACAGTAACACCCTGCTTTGCAGAAGTACCCATCTCCCTTTTCTCTGAGCTTTGGTGTCTGCACAGAGGCATTCTCGTTCTGGAGCGGTCTGTAGGGAGGTGGTGCTAGTAAACGAGTCAAGGCCAAGGCTTGGGTTCAGGCACTGTGTCATGATCATCCACATGTTTAAGGGTTAGAACAGTCCCCCATACAGTTTGGCCAGCAGTCCCCCAGACAGTGCCTAGACGCTGCTTGGGAACAGCACAAGGCAGCAGATTGTTCCCATTAGGCAAAAAAGGGTGAGGCCACCCTGTATTGTGAGGATAAGAGATTTTAGCCATATGGATGCTATGTTGTGCCTCTTGTCCTCAGGGCTAGAGAATGAGCCCTCGCCTGTTTTATTTATTAGTATAGCTGTAGCCAATAATTCTGGCCAAATGCAAACAGATTTTTCCTGGGCCATTCAGATATCTTTGGCAAGTGCTGGAAGCTCCATGAAGGTTACTAGCCAGGCACAGCTCCAGCCTTCCGCTGAATTCATGTGTATTCTAGCGCTGAGTCTGAAGCAGTAAACCCTGCCCAAACGCAGAGTGGGAGGACACTGCAGAAAGGAGAGGGGGGATAATACAAAAACACAGAAGTAATCTGGAGGGACAAGCTTGAATCTGGCACGGGGCTAGAACTAACAAACTCTGCTGGTTTCTCAGAGCCACTTACTCATCTTCAAACTATTCTACAGCGCTCCCCATACCAGGAGCGCATTGCTGGGATGCAGGGCTGCCGCAGCAGGGAGCTGCTGTAGGTGTCTGGGCCGCCTAGCTCGGCCTTCACGTTGAGCGCAGGCAGCCGTTCTGCTTCTGGACACAAGATGGCCCGAGCCAGCAACTCTGTCGGAGAGTAGCCTGCCTATCGCAGAGCCAGCCCGTTATTCCGTCTGGGAAACATCCCATCTGCAGCACAGATGCAGTTCCCCCAAGAAAATCAATGGGTTTTTTTATTGATACTTTTGAAATGTCATTTTTTTTTCTTTTTCTGTTAACATCTCTTGAATAAAATTTTGGGAATAGCACTTTTCCAAATAGCAAGGAACAGGGAAAGATGTTTTTTGCAAGGCAAAAGTCTGAATTATGAAAAATGAAGGTTTTTTATTTCTTACTTGTATTAATTGTACTGCAATCCTAGTGAATCCACCTGAAAAGATTAACTTTTATCAAAATGTTTCTAATTTGGCTATCTAAACTTCAAAAATAAGATTTTATTATTATTATTCTATGAAAGAAAAATCACCAAGTATAGCTGATTCCTGGAAAATTCAGAGTAAATATGAGCTCATGTTCACATTAACAGATGCTAGAGGACATGAGGGAAGCACAAGTAAGAACTCTACCCTCAGAGAATTGATCTCTTTAGGGAGAAAATATGTATGTATTTGCACAAATGTGTAAGTCAAAGCATAGTTATTGGATAAATGCAGTTTGATATCCCAAGCTGAATTGTCATGGTATATCATAGAAAATGTACTGAAGGAAAGTAGAATATGTTAAGTCTTGTTAAGGCTTAAGAAACCTCCAAGTTCTGAACAAAACATGAAGATGACCCTAGTACTGAGGACTAAAGTCCTGATCTGAAAGATGAACCTTTGAGGTGTAGCATGCGTATGTTTGCAGGATGAGACCTGGAGAAGGAAACAGACTTCCTGGAGTTTTAAAATAAATTTCTTGATTTTTTTTCAATATTGAAAGTGCTGTGAAAAGTAAGGGCAGTATTAGTTTGCAGTTGACTCAAGTTGCACACATTCCATATTTCTGTCAACTTATTTCCTCACTTTAAAATGGAATGTCACATAATACAACAGCAATTTACAAAAACTATCCTTATGACTTTAAGAAAATGCAAATGTTAGGCCTTAGCTAGGTATAGAAGTTGTCAGTAAAACCCACCAAAGGCTGACATTCGGTGAAAAGTAAGAATGATCCTTTGGCTATAGAAAGCTGAGGGAGGTGCTGATATACTGCTATTCCAGCCCATTGTTAACAGGCAGGAAAAAGCAATGGAAATTAGGATGCCACTGTATCTGCCAGTCTTCCAGTGCATTTTCAGCTTTTTATTGCATCCATATGTTAAGTTTTAAACAACCCTCAAACCACTCCTCACATTCCTAGAGAAATATGTATTTCTAAAAAAGAATAAGAAATTGTGCTGTACATAAGACTCACAAGAACTGACTGGGATGGTTTACATGTATTGTAATTTCTTTAACAAGTTAATTTACTTACAAAATAAAGCATCACAACAGTAACATACAGAAAATAATGACTTTGTTGTTATTGCTGTCATTTAGACTTCAGGAATATAAAACTTTAGAGGCTTTAGTAGGACTGCTCACTGATCAGCCTGATGAAGTCCTTGTAAATGTTGTTGGAGCAGTGGGAGAATGTTGCCAAGAGCACATAAATCGAACTATTATCCGTAAATGCGGTGGAATCCCCCCTCTGGTGAAATTGCTCACTGGAACTGATCAGGCACTTCTTGTGAATGTCACCAAAGCAGTGGGAGCTTGTGCAACAGAACCTGAAAATATGATGTAAGTTACGTGTGTATATATATGAGGTAAGAAAATATGGTATAAGTAATACTTACGGAATTTGAAATATTGCAAGAAAATAATCTGAGTAATTCCAGCAGCTGATTTTGCAAGGACAACATTTAAAGTTCTAAGGTAAAGATAGCTTCTTACAAAAATATATATATAAGTAGATATATTGCAATCAGCTATGGTATTGAATTCACAGATTAGTTACTTTGTGTAATAGGGTTGTTTGAAAAGACATTTCATGTTTGTACTATTTTAGTTCAGGCTTTTGATGGATTATGTACCATTTAGTATAAAATCATCTGAATTAATAATGGACTTAATTTCCTGTTAAACATAGTAATAGGTTTTACTTTCATCAGTGCTAGTGTGAGTTTAATGGATATTTTGTTTTTTGCAAGCTATGTGGGTTAGTTATATCCTATTGAATAGTATGCTATATGGCAACACAAGTATTTAATTAATATATAGGACAAAACAGGCATTTTTTGGAAAATCAGGTAAGCCTGTAATAAACTGATTTTTATTAAAGCTAAGATTCAGCATTACAGAGCACCGTTTTAAAGTACTGTATGATGATGATCTGTTTTTCCTTTACTTCCTTTTACTGTTCTCAAGTCATAGATAATTGCCTAAATTACAGAAATAATTCAAAAAGAAGTGTGTGTGTTTACTCTCATGAAAAATCTTTTGAAAGCTGTTAAAATTAGAACATGGTTTGTATTTTGTCTTTTTGTCTTCGTTATTCTCTTTATGGACTCCGACTTTTTCTTTTTGACCCTTTTCTCCTGTACTATTCCTTCAAAAACAGAAGAAGAAAAAGGCTGGCTTTTACTGAGAAAGTTGTTGCTCTCTTTAGTTTTGTGATGCAGATTTGCATGACTGACAGAAAGACTTTGAATTTCATGATTAAGTGTTCCAGTAAAATATTCAGGTCAGCATTTACTGTGCTTGCTGTTCCCTTACAGGGATATTTTCCTCAAGATCTTGGGCATATTTCCCTCCTTATATGTAAGGAAGGTCAGAAAGAGAGAGTTTTATTAAGCTCCTCCTGTTCTGATTTGCATAATTCACTTGATATTCATATAGCAGTGCAGGGAATTCTTTGCCTGAATAGGGCTTTTGTTTCCATGCTTTGGCTGTCACCCAGTGGCAAGAGGCTAGATGCTACACAACAGTAAACATGGCTTATAGGAACAGTTAGCCGTGTAGTATAAAAGCATACACAAATGAAATCACTTTTGCTAATATTTCAAATGAAGAATACTAAACATAAGTCTTTGCTCTACTAACCTAAGACAAATAACATCGTAATTGACAGAGGAGTGTAAATGCCAATAAAAAGAAAACGACATTTCTAAAACCTCAGACATACTGCAGCCCACAGCACTATCACTCGTAATACCCAGTATGGATAGCTTCGTACTGGAATGTGGTTGGTATAGGCCCCAAAAATAACACAAGTTGCTGCTAAAATTGTAATCAAACAGAGTCCATCTTGTTTTTAGGAAGGAGAGAGCATAGGTTGTTTGGGAGGAAATTCTAAAGAGTTTGCCAATAGTGGACGAAGGAATCAAGTCTCAAATTAGGTTCATATGGAAAAATTCTCTGTTGAAGGTTTGCAACGTTTAGAAAAAGTAGGCTAGATTTTATTCCAGGAATATAATGTACTTTTAACGACTGGGTAAAAGACATTACAGATAAATTATTATTCATAGGGAGACCAAGACACTTAGTTGAAGCAATGTGTCAGTGTTCAGTCAAGTTCAGTTGTGTCAAGTTTAGAGCTGTAGCGCTAGAAGAAATAATGGTGTTGTCTTTTTCCAAGGCATGATTCAGGCAGGTAGGGAGAATTTTGATCCTGATCCAGCAAACTGTTTTAACAATACTTAACTTGAACATTGATGTCAATGGAGCTCCTCACGTGTTTAAATGATTTACTCGGTTGTGTGTTCTGCATCTTGCAGGGTTAATACATTCAATCTTTCAAACAACAAACAAACACTGGGACCATCCATTCACCTTCCTTCTCTTTATCCTCAGACCAGTATAGCAGGAGGTGAAACTGTAGCCTCATCCAGATTTTTTAAGTAGTCACCAAAGAGATAAGGGACAGTGTACAATTTTGCTTTGTGCCAAATACAGAATCTGGGACTAAAACAATGTGTTGTCTTGTTGGAAAGTACTGAGGGGGCTCATGCTCTTTCTGTAAACATTTTCTGAAGCTTTTAACCAAAAATATTAGGTGAGCCCATATTTTGTGTGGAAAGTATTCCGTATTCTCTATCCAGCATTCTTTACAATGAGGGAACACCCGAGGGACATTGTTCACAGTAACTATGGTTTTAGTTGGTTCTAGCACTGGTTTTCCACTGCACAGCTATGTGGTTTGACCACATCCCAAGCATACAAAGACTTGATTGTTTCTCCACCATTGCTTGTCCTGGTGTAGCTTAGAGTAGTTTTATGGCTGCTATCCTGGGGCTTAATGACTTGTTTGGCACAACAGCTCCATAGCAAAGTCTGCAGTCAAATAGTGTTAACTAATCAGGATTCAGCTACCCAGACAATTTTTTTTTTTTTTTAAGTGCAATATTTTGTCTTGGTCAATAAATACCATCAGATGTGACAGAAGTTCATAGCTGTGTAAAAGAAAAGACAACCCTGACTTATCTCCATAGTATTTCCATCCCATTCACTGACTGGGTTCTTTTAGAGAAGAACAGGGATATGATCATGCAATTGCAAATCATATTGTCAGACACAAGCATATTGTCTGACTCAAAGTTGCATGGGCAACCTCATTTTGGCATGCTTTCCTTTGATTGTAAGATTTGCCGCCTTGGTAACAACCTTGCGCTGTGTTGTAGCTTTAAAACGATGCAGAAAAGTAGATCTTCTGTGTGAACTCAGGGATGCCTACCGTAGGCCTTAGCAGGAACATTTGAAAGATTTAATGAAGCATTTGGAACATTTAATTCCATTTCTTACGGTCTCAAGTTAATGGAAGACTGTTAGCAGCAGCAGTGGTGTTGCTGCCAGCACTCCAGTGACATTGGCAGTGCAGACAAACACTTTTTTCACTGGGGATTCATAGATGTTTGCTGAAATCAGGAATGGCGAGACATGAGAGGTCTGACCTCTTTGCATTTTCTGGAGGGTACATGTTGACTTTTTGCCTCAATCTATTGGCCTAATCATTCTTATACCTGCTTCTGCGTCTTACATTCCTGTCAGAATTTTCCCCTTAGCTTTACCCAGTAGGGCTGCCAAAAAACAAAAACCAAACCAAAAAAAAAGAGTTGATTCAAATGGTTGTGTCAAGCAAAATTACAAATATATATATATATATTATACTATATATGTATGTATATATATATAACATTTTCTCTACATATATATATATATAATATGTATATATAAATATATATATATATATGTAGGGATGGTATAGCAACCTCAGTGAACCAGTGTGCCTATTAGACGTTCTAAAATCCATTCTTTTTGAAAGGTATTGCTGTACCCTGACAGATGAGGTACGTACAAGGGGAAAAAGTATGAGAAATTAGTCTTTGTATTGATATTAGAATTTGACTAAAATTAGAATATATTGATATTAGAATTTGAATAAAGGTTGCATTTAAATTCCTTAAGTACAAAGAGGAATGGAAATCAGTGAAGTTGCTTGAAAAGTCAAATCATAGCTATAGAGGGGGAAATAATGTGACAGTTTTTCCTTTTGATATGGTGTCATAGCTTCTCAGACTGCAGAGCAGTGCTCCTTCTGCAGTTTTGATGTCTCTCGATACATCTTGTTGCATTTCAAAACTCTCAAAATTTCTATTGTTCAGCTGTTAAGTATGGAAAGGGGATTTCGCAATTTCTCTGATAAAGAAGCATTTTGCGTGTATGATTTTTTTAATCTTCCAATACCCTAGAAGGGGATAAGGGATCATAATTAAGGTAACTTATTTTAATGTTCCACATGTAGAAGTTTCTACTCAGAAAAGTATTGTTACAACTTTATGATAGCCAAAACAAAAGAAAAAAAAATGCCATTTTTTTCTAATCCTTATGTCCTCATCTTAAAAAAAAAAACAAAAACAAAACA